CGTGCCTGCCTCTCCTCTGGGGACAGGGAGTCCCAGGCTCGGGCTGGGCACCCCATGGCTCCGGGCAGCCTTGCGGCAGGGATGGGACGCGGCGTGTGGGGGGTCACGCTGGAGCATGCGCAGCACAGCAGGGAAGGGCTGTGGGATACCCTGCCAGCTCCAGTGAAGGGCCACCTCCGCAGGCTCCGCCAGGAGCTCCAGGAGAAGGAGAAGGTGATTGAGAGCCTGGAAGCGAAGCTGCAGGAGCGCTGTGAGTCCCCGGGCAGCAGCCGCCCACCCTCTGAATCGTCCCGCTCTGCCACCAGCACCTCCTTCGTGAGGAGCCTGCCCGACTTGCGGGTGCTGGGGGGTGCCCGGGGGGGTCCCTGCAGCCCCTCTGCAGCGTCTGGGTCCTTGCAGTGATAGGTGCCCATCAGGCCTGGGCAGGAGCTGCCCGTGGAGCACCGTGCTCTAGTGCCAGCCCGAGGAGGGTGAGCACACAGCACCCGGGGCTGCAGGGGAGCGTCTCAGGAAGCCCTGCTGTGGTACCACAGTCCTGCAAAGCTGGAACCTGACTGGCCTCATGTGGGCTGTCCCAGCCTGCTGTGCCTCCGGACACAGGGACTCGGCTGCTCAGGGCGTGCCAGGGTCCTAGTGCTGCCGGGGAGGAGGGGTCCCCGCCAGGCTGAGCCAGAGCCACGCTAACATCTCTCTCCATCTCTCTCTCCTGTCTCCAGGCCTTCACTTTGACTCCTTGTCCAACCCCGTTAGTGCCCCTCTGCCTGCGCTGTCGCCCGGGCTGCCCCCCTTCCTGCCTGCTGGGCCCCCTCTTCCTACAGCCACCCTGCTCCTGGGCTGCTGTGGGACCCCCATCTGCTCCCTGGCCGAGGTGCAGCAGGAGCTGCAGGTGCTCCAGAGGCAGCTGGGAGAAAGTGAGCCTGTGCCTCTGGCTTGGGGTTGGCCCTGCCTGCCCCACGTGCCACGCTGTGCCGCGCTGTGCTGCATGGCCCCCTGCCCAATCTGTCCTGCCTGTCCTGCCCTGACCCTTCTCCTGCTACCAGGGGCTGCTGCTTTAAGGTTGGGTCCCATCACTCTGGCTGGGGGATGGTGGGAACACATGGCTGTCAAGAAGAGGGGACCTGGTGGGTGGGATGGACACAGCCTGAGGCAGCTCTAGCCCTTGGTGCGGGTGCTTGCTCATCCCAGGGCCCCTGGGAAAGGGCTGGTTTGGTTAGTTGATGGGTAGGACTGAGGCTGAGATCCTCCAACTTGTGTCACGTAACCAGGAAGCCTTGGGAGAGCCTCTGCTCTTCAGGAGGAATGGGTGTGACCAAGACAGGAGGTCGATGCTGGGGGATCACCATGGGGGGACATGGGGCTGCACTGTTGGGCAGAGCAAGAAGGGGGCAAGAAGCACATGGAGGGACTGGGTTACCCCCATTCTCCCTCCCTGCTCCTTACTCTCCTTCTCTTCGCTGCTTTGCCCTGTGCGTGCAGCCGTGACGCTGCCCGTGGCACCAGCAAAGCCCGCAGCCCCGCTGGGCCCCTTGGGAGAGGGCAGCAAAGCCCCAGCATCGCTCTGCCAACACGACGTGCTGCAGAGCCTGCCTGAGATCCCCGGGGCCACCGAGACCCGTGCCCACTGGGACGTACCCTGCCCCGGCCGGCTGCTTCACGGGGCCCTGCCGTCGGGGTACGCCTCCAGCCAGAAGCTGACAGGTAAGGTCCATGCTGGAGAGCACGGGGGCATCCCGGCTGGGGGTG